GGAGTTAGAGGTTGCTGTGAGCGTGATGCCATGGCACTCTACCCAGGGGGACAGCTTGAGGCTCCGTCTCAAAAAAAAAAAAAATAAAAGCTGCTTACGAGAAATCCACTTCATTTATAATGACACACATAGACTGAAAGTGAAGGGATACACAAAGATAATTCTTGCAAGATAGAACCAAAAAAGAACCAAGAGTAGCCATACCTGTATCAGGTAAAACAGACAAGTCAAAGCCTAAAAAGAGGCCAGACATGATGGCTCATGCCTATGTTCCTATCACTTTTGGAAGCTGAGGGGGGAGGATTGCTTCAGAACAGGAGCTCAAGGCCAGCCTTGAAAGTAACAAGATCCCGTTTCTACAAAAAAAATAGAAAACTTACCCAGGTATGGTAACATGTGCCTATATTCCCAGCTAATCTGGAGGCTGAAGCAGGAGGATTGCTTGAGTCCAGGATGTTGAGATTGCAGTGAGCTAGGATGAGGGAACTCTAGTTCTAATGACAGAGCAAAATCATATCTCAAAACAAAACCTATAAAAAGAGACACTGAGGCAGTACCTGTGGCTCAAAGGAGTAGTTTGTTGGCCCCATATGCCAGAGGTGGCGAGTCAAACCCAGCCCCAGCCAAAAATAAAAAAAGAGACAAAGGAGGTCACTATATAACGATAAAGGAGTCACTTCAGCAAGAGAATATAATAACAAATATCTGTGCACTCAGCACTGGAGCACCCAAGTATGAAGAAAACATTGATAGATATAAAGAGAGAGTTAGATTGCCATATAAAAATAGCAGGGAACTTCAACACCTCACTCTAAATAACAGACAGATCATCCAGACAGAAAATCAACAAAGAAACACTGGAGTTAAACTACACCCTAGACCAGGACATTTTCCCTAACACTACAGTATATACATTGTTTTTGTCAGTGCACATAACATTATCCAAAATTGACCATATCCGAGGCCACAAAACAAATCCCAACAAATTCAAACAAGTAGGCATCATGTCAACTATCTTTTATATCTATAATGAGGAAAATTAGAAATTAACATCAAAAGAAATCTCAGAAACTATACAAACACATGGAAATTAAACATGCTCCTGGATCTCAGTGGGTCAAGGAAGAAATTAAGAAGAAAAATTAAAATTTTATTGAAACAAATGAAAATGAAAAGATAATGTACAAAAATCAGTGGATACAGTAAAAGCAGTACTAAGAAGTATATAGTAATGAATGCCTACTCAAAGTAGAAAGACTTCAGATAACCTAATGATGTACCGTAATGAATTAGGAAAGCAAAGTCAAAGCACACTTAGTGTTCATAAAAGTAAAGAAATAATAAAGATCAGAGCAGAAATAAATGAAATTGAGACTAAAAAAAAAGATCAAAAAAAGTTACTTTTTTGAAAAGATAAAACAACATTAACAAACCTTCAGCTACAAGAAAAAAAGTGAGAGATGCAAATAAATCAGAAATGAAAATGGAGCCATAACCAAGACCACAAAAAATATAAAGAATAATTAGAGGGTGGCACCTGTGACTTAGTGAGGGTGGCAGATTCAAACCTGGCCCTGGCCAAACCGCAACAACAGCAAAAATAGCTGGATGTTGTGGTGGGTGCCTGTAGTCCCAGTTACTTGGGAGGCTGAGGCAGGAGAATCGCCTAAGTCCAAGAGCTGGAGTTTGCTGTGAGCTATGATGCCACAGCACTCTACTGAGGGTGACAAAGTAAGACTCTGTCTCAAAAAAAAAAAAAAAAGAAGAAGAATTAGAAATTGAAACAATTATAAGCCAACTAGAAAAACCTAGAAGAAATATATAAATTTCTGGACACATAGAACCTACCAAGACTGAAGCATGAATAAATAGAAAACCTCAGCAAACCAACAAGGCATAATGAGATTGAAGCCATAATAAAAAGCCTCTCATCAAAGAAAAGCCTAGAACCTGATGGATTCTCTGCTGAATTCTATCAAAATTAATAGAACTACAATAATACCAATTCTACTTAAACTTTTCAAAAAAATTGAAGAGGAGGAAATACTTGCAGACTCATTCTGTGAGGCCAGCAGTACATGATACCAAAGCCAGGTAAGGACACACAAAAGGAAAACTACCAACTATTATAACTGATGAGGATAGATACAAAAGTCCAACAAAATAGTAGCAAAACCAAATTCAACATCACATTAAAAAGTCTGTTCACCATGATCAAATGGTATTCATGCCAGGAGGCAAGAATGGCTCAACATATGGTAATCAATAAACATAATATGCGCATACATCACATGAACAGAACCAATAACAAAAACTAGTTGGTAATTTTAATAGATGAATGTGATGAAATTCAACGTCCTTGAGATAAAAACCCTTAAGAAACTGAAAATGGAAGTTACTTCAACATAACAGAAATCCATATATGAGTAAGGCTCAGCTAATGTTGAAAGCCATTCCTCTAAGATCTGTGACAGGGATGTGCTCTTTCATAATTATTTTTTTGTTTTTAGAGACAGAGTCTCAGTTTGTCACCCTTGGTAGAGTACCGTGGCGTCACAGCTCACAGCAACTTCCAGCTCCTGGGCTTTGGCAATTCTCTTGCCTTAGCCTCCTGAGTAGCTGGGGCTACAGGCACAAACCAAGCTTAACAGTGTAACAGTAAAAGAAAAATAGACAATAGTCAACCTTGGTTTTCCCAAATGTGCCGTGGTGGTTCAGCAACTTGTCAGGGACCAGCCTTGACATGTGGTGGTTTACTTCCTAGTGGCCTGGTGGTGTGAGGAGATCAAAACATTTTTAATAGGAGTTATAGAATATTAATATAGAGAAATAATAGGCTCAGTGCCTGTAGCACAGTGGTTACAGTGCCAGCCACATACACTGAGGCTGGCGGGTTCAAACCCAGTCCAGGCCAGCTAAACAACAATGACAACTGCAACCAAAAAATAGCCAGGTGTTGTGACTGTAGTTCCAGCTGCTTGGGAGGCTGAGGCAAGGTAATCACTTCAGCCCAAGAGTTTGAGGTTGCTGTGAGCTGTGATGCCATGGCATTCTACCAAGGGCAACACAGTGAGACTCTGTCTCAAAAAAAAAAAAAAAAGAAAGAAAGAAAAAGGAAGGAAAGAAAGAAAGAAAAAATAAAAGACACAGACAAAGAGACAGTTTTAAGAGCATCAGGGCTCAGGAGGCAGCATACAACTTCCTCCTGAGGCGTCCAGTATGCTGCGCTAAGTATTAGGCTAGCTCTGTATTTATTTCATACATCAGTGTTACAGTCATAAATCTCATTAAAGCAAGGCAAACAATCCTGTCAAGGTTCTTGCTGCTCTTGCATTCCTACTAACTAGACTAACTCTACAGCTGATTACCTTAATTGCATGGATTTACTTGTTACTTTTTACTGCTTCTAAGTATTAATGAAAACAAAGTCTTGATAAAGAAGCCAATCAGAGGCTGACTCAAGGACCAAATCCTAGCTGACCCACAGTCACACACCACAGATGTGATGTTTTAATACTCTGACAGCCTTGTGTCCAAACAGATAGACTCCTGTGGTCTTATCTGGAGGAGGTCTAATCTGGTCTAATCTTTCTTCTCCTTATTTGGTCCAGAGCAAGTCATCCTGAGTTGGACAAAGTTTAAAGAATTAACATTCTTAACTCCCAAAACCCACTTCCTTGGAGCATACATCCTTGCTCTGGCAGAAAGCAGCTTCAAGGCCTCCAGCCAGCTGCAGTGCTGCAGCTATGAGGGAGGCAGGGATATACAACACGCCAGTCTTCAGGAATATTAAAGTGACAGGATCTTGCACTCTGTGCTCAAAGTCAGAAAAATGGGTCTGAATCAATTCCCCATAACTATCTCCCTTTGTCCGGACCTTATTCCCTATTCCTAATAATATTTTTAATCTACTAACAATTGATAAATATTAGTTTCAAATTTATAAAACCATTATTACTACTAATGCAAGCACATCAAGATATGACTCCTCCCTTAAGTATTCCCACATGCACTCTTCAAAACTCTATCAATGTGATTCCCTACAGCAACATATTAATAAAATATTTTAAATAATTTAAAATAAAAGGTTTTTTTGTTTTTTTGTTTGTTTGTTTTAGAGACAGAGTCTCACTTTATCGCCCTTGGTAGAGTGCAGTGATGTCACAACTCACAGCAACCTCCAACTCCTGGGCTTAGGCAATTCTCTGCCTCAGCCTCCTGAGTCACTAGAACTACAGGCACCCACCAGAAGGCCTGGCTATTTTTTTGTTTGCAATTTGGCCAGGGCGGGTTCCAACCTCACTATATGGAGCTGGTGCCCTACCCACTAAGCCACAGGTACCGCCAAAATAAAAGATTTTTAAAGGAATGTTAAAGAGAGGGCTTTGTAATTTCATATATCAAAATGTTCTCTCTCACATATTGCAAGCGTACAAGTCAGATCTGTCAAGTGTAGAACATAAATGTCTTAACACAATAATCAAGTAAATGAGGCGAAAGCTATGTTGATTGGTTTGATGTAACCACATCAGATTGCATAAAAAAAAAAATCAATGCATTGTACCTCACATGTGCATAAATGTATTCATGATCTATGTGTATTTGAATTAATAAAAAAAATGAGGTAATCAGTTGAGAAAATAGTAGAATTCACTTGATTAATCATAAATATGAATGGTATAAAATTTATAAAAGTTTCTAGAACTAAATGTAGAACTTAAATGTTGAAATACTGCTGTGTATAGTTACCATACTTATCAAAATCGTCAAATTTTTTGACAGTCTTAAACTTTTTTTGTTTCTCAGTATTTGACTTAGTATTTTGTATGTAGTGGTTTCAATTAATGTTTATAGTTGTAGATATTGATAATGGTGGTGATAATGATGAGGATAAAATACAAGGCCTGAGTAGCTATGGCAAGTAAAAGAATCTTTATTGTTTTGTGTAGCCTGTTCTTTTTTTTCCACTTTTTTTTTGATGCTTAATTTCTTTTTTCCAGATATTTAATGACTCTTCTGTGAATAGCCATTCAAAATGTTCACAAGTTACAGCTAAAAAAGGTTCACAAAATTTTATGCAATTCAGGTAACCTTTAAAAATTAGAAAATGATTGACTTTCTGAAATAATCTATGAATATAAACTCAGAAAAAACTATAAAAAGTGTATTTGTTGCATTTTAGGTTGTTGACCTCCCAGAAACAATTAAATTGCAATCAGTGGTTTGAAAAAGGAGATACAGGTATTTGCTTGCTGTTCATATTTTTCCTAAGAAGTAGGGGTAATAATACATTATATTAGGTTTTTATACTATTAAAATAATCATTTGAGTTGTTTGTATTTCTGGTTAACTGAAATTAACTGTCTTAAAAATACATTTTATGTCTGTCTTTAAGATATATTTTTCCTTAAATGTAAAATAAATACATTTCATTGTAGAATATTTGGAAAACAAAGAAAAATATAAAGGATAGAAAAATACCACCACTCAGACATAAATTACACCATACATACTGGTATATGCTATTTTAAACTTTGTTTCTTTGCATACATATGTTTAGTTCTTTCTTCTCTTCAAATTTAACTATATTATATTTATAATTTTGTGTTCTTTTTTCCCACTTGACAGACAGGTATTTTTACCATGTCATTAAATAGATTTTATTTATAACAACTGCGTAATGTTCCATTGTGTGGATATGCATAATTTATTTGGCCACTGTGTCATATTGGATATTTTGTTGTTTCTAGTTCTTTTTACTATTATCACCAATTCTACTACACTCTTTTACATTAATCTTTTACTATTTTGGCCTTTTTTAAAAATAAAACCGCAGAAGAGTCACAGGATATATGTATGAGTTTATTATCTGTGAGTCACCTAGCTGTTGGAACAAACTTTGACACACCCTTGAAAATACTAACTCCTCCTCTCTCTAAGTATACAGATGGTGCCAAAAAAGTATACATATTTTGAGAAAGGAAAAACTGCATTAAAGTATAATAATATATACTGATAACAAAATATGAATATAAATCACATTAGAGTACCTCTTGTAATTGAAGAAGTCCAATGTGATAATATACAATTATGGGGCATATAAAAGTCTTTGCCACCTCTTGTCTGATTATTGAGATTTATTTTGAAATTGAAAAATGGCTTATTCTGATGACATGAAAATTCTGTAAATAGATGTATATTTAGTATGGCCAAATAATATACTATTTCTATCACTCTTAGCATGGGATTCACACAATACAATATGCTTCTTTCACACAGATGAATATTTTCCCTGCTTTATTCTAGGAGAAAAAAATTGTACTTTACCTGTAAAAGTAATATGTTCTACCTGTTTATAATCTCTTATACTTATATATGCCAAGCTGACAGAATGTTAGACAAGAAGGAATAGCTATTCTGTAGGAATAATGCACTATTACTGTAGAGATGTGGGGAATATATATATTTGGCATAGTCTTTCCTGATGTTCAATGTATGGGACTTCATACCCAAGAAGGCATATAATTATTTTGGAAGGAAAAGAAGACTCTTTTCAATAATCTCTAAATCCATCTTTTGAAGAAATTAGTATGTGGTGAAAAATAATGTTTATGACTTAAATACAAGAGACAAAAAGTATAAAGATTCTGTAAGATCAGGTAGAAAAATACAGTCATAACTTTAAGATAGGAAAGGAGTTTTCAAATAAGAATTAAAAAACCTAATCATTAGACTGGGTGTGGTGGATCACGCCTGTAATCCAAGCACTCTGGGAGGCTGAGGAGAGTGGATTGCTTGAGCTCAGGAGTTAGAGACCAGTCTCAACAAAAGTGAGACCTTTGTCTCTACTAAAATAGAAAAACTGGGGCAAGAGGATTGCTTGAGCCTAAGAGTTGGAGGTTGCTGTGAACTATGATGCCGCAGCACTCTACCCAGGGGGACAGCTTGAGATGCTGTCTCAAAAACTAAACTAAAATAATCCCAGTCATAAAAGAAAGATTGATAAAATTAGCTAAATTAAAATTAAGATTTCAGTCCATCAAAAGATACTATAAAAATAGTAGTGGGGGAGGTGGTGGTGGAGGCAAGATCGCTGACCAGAGCCAGCTTTCCACAGAGGCTCCTGTCCAGAAGGAGAGTTAAAAGACAGAACGTTAGCAAGTAAGCTGATGGTTTGGAGCTGAGCCAAGAGAGAAGGTTGAAGAACACACATCAACCCTGCTGAGGGGAGCTGCAACCCCAAGGATACAAACAATAGGTACAAAATCCAATGCCAAGCGGACAGGAGTTCCCTCCCCCAAGTGAATGGCTCACAGTATACTTTCTACAAATAAGGGATTGTTTGTTCAGACATCCTCCCATTTTATCCTATGGGAGAGACCCTCTAAAAACCAGACCTCCTTCCCCTACTAGGGTGCCATGGCACTCTCCTGTCAGGCATAAAACTGTATATATTCTTTACCTGCAATTCTGAACTTCCAGCAATCCCCTCCACTCTCACCCCAAGATCTGGAAGCCTGTCACCCACAGTGTCAAGATTCTTGGGCATTTCCTGGAGAGGTGTGGACAGGGCACGGGCTATTGCAGGTCTGTGCTGATTCTGCAGCATGGGGGTAAGGAGGAGACTGTGGACTAAAAGAACCTGACAGGAGATGGAGAGGTGGTACCCTGTGGCACAGAGCAGCAGTGGCAGCAGCAGGAACTATAGGGCTCCCACCCCTGGGGATATTTTGGAGAGACACTCCCTGTCTCTCTGGGCAACCAGAGAAATCCGGGCATCTTCTCCAGTGGCAGACACTGGTGGGACAGAACTGGGATGGTAACACAGGCCATGTGAGTAAAGGGTATGCCTGAGGTGGTACCTGTCAGGGCGGGGTACAGGGAAGACGAAGAATAAAAGACATGTGCACAGAGGCAGCATAATCCCAGGGTGTGGCTGAGCCAGGACTGCTTTAGTGAGCCTAAGAAGCACCCAGCCCTTAAAGGATCATAGCTGAAACAAAGGCAGGTGGCCAGAGGCTGGAAATCAGAGCCAAGTGTGAGCTCTAACCACACCTGCCCCAACACAGACTGTAGCAGAGACAGACACACCAGCTCCAGGCAGTGTCAGATTCTGTGAACTCAAACAGCACCTGGTCCACAGGGGAATATAGCCAGGACAGAATCACAAATTCTGTGAAAATATAAGTGTCAGCAACATCAATCAGGAGCAGGGCTGGACCTGAGTGAACTGCCCCAGCTTCCATTAATCATCTGAGGTTGTCAGGCCTCAGGATGGTGGCAGAGTATGGAGGCCTGGCTGAGGAGGCATAGATCTCCCTGTGACTCAGGTAGGTGCAATCCCCTGGAGGAGCATCTGCTCATTGGAGGGAACTGTGAAGAAAAGGTGATCAAGGGTATCCATATAGGGTCAGAAGAGATCAAACTTTCACTCTTCGCAGATGATATGATTGTATATCTGGAAAACACCAAGGATTCTACTAAAAAACAGAAGTGACCAAGGAATACAGTAGTTGTCTCAGGTTACAAAGTCAACACTCAAGAATCTGTAGCCTTTATACATACCAACAATAGTCAAGCTGAAAAAATAGTCAAGGACTCTATTCTGTTCACAGTATGCCAAAGAAAGAGAACTATGAAACTCTAAGAAAAGATATAGCTGAAGATGTTAAATGGAAAAACATACCATGCTCATGGCTGGGAAGAATCAACATTGTTAAAATGTTTATACTACCCAAAGCAATATACAATTTTAATGCAGTCCCTATTAAAGTTGCACTGTCGTACTTTAAAGATCTCATTTTATATGAAATAAAAAAAAAAAACTTTGAATAGCCAAGACATTACTCAGAAATAAAAGCAAAGCAGGAGGAATTATGCTATCAGACCTCAGATTACACTATAAATCCGATAGTAATCAAAACAGCATGGAACCGGCACAAAAACAGAGAGGTAGATGTATGGAACAGAATAGGGAACCAAGAGATGAACCCAGCTACTTACTGTCATTTGATCTTTGACAAGCCAATTAAAAATATTCAGTGGGAAAAAGATTCCCTATTTAACAAATGGTGTTGGGTGAATTGGCTAGCGACCTGTAGAACACTGAAACTGGGCCTACACCTTTCACCATTAACTAAGATAGATTCTCACTGGATTAAAGATTTAAACTTAAGACATGAAACTATAAAAATACTAGAAGAAAGTGCAGGGAAAACACATGAAGAAATTGGCCTGGGTGAATATTTTATGAGGAGGAGCCCCCCCCAGCAACATCAAAAATACATTACTGAGACTTGATCAAACTAAAAAGCTTCTGCACAGCCAAGAACACAGTAAGTAAAACAAGTAGACAGCCCTCAGAATGGGAGAAGATATTTGCAGGTTATGTCTCCAACAAAGGTTTAATAACCAGAATCCACAGAGAACTCAAACGTATTAGCAAGAAAAGAACAAGTGATCTCATCTCAGGGTGGGCAAAGGACTTGAAGAGAAACTTCTCTGAAGATAGGCGCATAGCCTACAGACACATGAAAAAATGTTCATCATCTTTAATCATCAGAGAAATGCAAATCAAAACTGCTTTGAGATATCATCTAACTCCAGTAAGATTAGCCCACATCACAAAATCCCAAAACTGTTGATGTGGATGTGGAGAAGAGGGAACACTTCTACACTGCTGGTGGGAATGCAAACTAATACATTCCTTTTGGAAAGATCTTTGGAGAACACTTAGGGATCTAAAAGTAGACCTTCCATTCGATCCTACAATTTCTCTACTAGGTATATATCCAGAAGACCAAAAATCACATTATAACAAAGATATTTGTACCAGAATGTTTATTGCAGCCAAATTCATAATTGCTAAGTCATGGAAGAAGCCCAAGTGCCCATTGACCCATGAATGGATTAATAAATTGTGGTACCTGTACACCATGGAATATTACGCAGCCTTAAAGAATGATGGAGACTTTACATGTTTACATGGATGGTGCTGGAACATATTCTTCTTAGCAGAGTATCTCAAGAATGGAATAAAAAGTATCCAAGGTACTCAGCCGTACTATGAAACCAATTTATAGCTTTCATATGAAAACTATAACCAAATTATACCCCAAGAAGAAGGGGAGAGGGAAGAGAGGGGTGGAGGGAGGATAATTGGTAGGACCACACCTACGGTGCATCTTACAAGGATACATGTGAAATTTACTGTGTAGAATATAAATGTCTTAACACAATAACTAAGAAAATGCCATGAAGGCTATGTTAACCAGTTTGATGAAAATATTTCAAATTATATATAAAACCAGCACATTGTACCCCATGATTGCATTTTTGTACATAGCTATGATTTAATAAAAAAGGCATAAAAATAGTAGAAGGCAAATGAATAAGCCAAAGAATAAAACTGTCCAAAGATTAGTTTCCAAAACGTGTAGAGAACTACAAATTAAGAAAAAGATAATCCAATTGAAAGTCTGTGAAAATGTGTGAATAGGTACTTCAAAAAGGAGAAACTTTTGTAGCAGATGAACATATGAAAAGATGCTTAGAAAGTCAGGGAACTGCAAAGTAAAATCACAGTGAGGTATCATTATACATCTAACAGATTGGCAAAATTCAGAAAGTGTGACACTACTCAGTATTGATGAGAATGTAGGACAATAGGAACGCTCATAAACTATTAGTGGGAACAATCATTAATAAATGTTTCTACATTGAGAACAAACCTAAATTATAATTGGATCTAATAATTTTGTTTGGTGAGACTGAATGAATTCCAGGGGGTAGTTCAAGATGACTAATTAGCACAATGAAAATTATCAGAACCACTTTGGAAAAATTTAGCATCTGGTAAAATGGGAGATATACACACCTTATCCCTCATAATTCCACTCCTAGGCATAGAAGGTAACAAGTTCTTGAACTCATCTTAGAAAAAGTGCTATATTCCTCATTGCTAAATATCACTATAGTCACTTTAAAAGTACTTTCCTGTGCAAGAGCATAGTCCACTCTTCAAAACAATTTTGGAACTCTTTTTCTGTAATGATCATCAGAGCTATTGTCCTAAGAGGTCTGACAGTTAAGTTTGTGAACATGACACCATGTGTCTGCATTGGCAGCACTGTATTAGCAACTCATTAAGGTTTCATAACTTTTGTGTATCAGTGTCTTGCTATGTGGTGTTCATCATTGTGTATTTTTGTGTGCCATAGACAACAGCTTTGATGGCCATTCCAGAAAAGGAGTTCCAAAATTGCTTTAAGAGGTGCACTAGGTGCTGGCATCTGTGCATAGCTTCCCAGGAGCTTCATAGTGATAATCAGCAATGAGGATTGTAGTACTTTTTCTGAGGATGAGTTCATGGACTTCTTTGTCAGACATTGTATACCTAGAGAACAACTATATGTATGCAAAAATATATGTAAAAGAATGTTCGGAACATCATTGGTCGTAATAGCCTGATAGCAGAAACACCCCAAATGCCCATTTGCTGTAAAATAAATAGAAGTACTATGTACAATGTCTCTGTGAAGTGATATGGATGAACCTCACAATCATATTCAAAACAAAAAGGCAAGCCATAAGAACACACATATATTATTTCATTATATGACATTTAAAAACAGGAAAAATGAACTCTATTAGGTGATAAAACTATATATAGCAAATTAAGGAAATAATTATCACAAAAGTCCAGATAGTGATTACCTCTGAGCAGGATGACATGGAGAATATGGAACCTTTTGGAGAGCTCATGATGTTCTGATTACCTGGTTGTTCTCTTTATAATTTTGTTAAACTGTTGGTATCATGTTTTATTCTCTTGTCTGTATATGTTTGCCTTTTTATAGGTTAAAAACAATTAGAAGATTGGTAATTTCAAATGGCTAGATTAATATGTTTTATTTTACAATAAAATTGGAAGAAGAAAATAATAGTTTGTTCTCATGTAATGAAACAGATGCTGAGTATGGAGAGAAAGGGACAGTAAGACAGTTAAGAGAATCAAAATGTACTTCACAAGTAAGTCAAATATTGATTTTTAATTTCTAAGCAAATCATTCTACTTTAAAATAGTCTATATCCATTTTAATTTCAGATTTAATATAATTAAGGTTATTTATGTGAGATGTTAACTTGGTGGTCAGACTTCTAGGAAGTTACTGATTTCATTTTTCATGTTAAAAATTAAGCTACAAAAAATTTACATGAAAATGTACCATAAGTTGTCCGTAATTTGACTACGTATTGAGAGCAAAACTAAACATAATTGAAGAAAACAATTTTTTTGGTAAGATTGTGTAGCCCATATAGCCTATGGCTAGGAGGAGTGAGTTATAAGAAATACCTGTAATGGAACACCTTGGTGAAAAGGGCATGGGGACAGATTTATTTCTAACAAGCATGAGAGAGCTCGTGAGATGAGAGCATTGGTGAATTGGCCGTCTCTATACCTGTGGTGTTGAGAGGCACAAGATCAGCCTTATATTAGGCTGGAGGAGAAGACAGATAAAAAAGCATGTGCATCCTATCACAGACATGCTTACTCTAACTCTGTCTCCTCTCCTGCCTGCAGAACGCCAGCACAGTGTCTCTGCTGAAGATCACCAAGTTCTACTAAAGACTAAGATCTATCTGTTCTAAGAAGACTGCTTTACTTACTCTAAGACACACACACACTCTCTCTCTCTCCAGCTGAAGTAGATAGCCCTCAAGCAACTAAGAATAACTATTTCTGAGCAAGGTAGCTTAGCGGTTCACATCCGGAACCTACCTAAGCTGGGCCTGAGACCTGGACAGTCCCAGGCCCTGACAAGTGGTGTCAGAAGCAGATCCTGCCAAGATTGAATGATTTTCCATGGCAATTCAAGACCATTGGTTGCCATAAAAATATCCTGGGGGTGTTTTTTAATAGTGGAAAGGTTTAATGTTGGTGGATGAAGGCAATGTTCATCAAGTTTACCCTAGCTTCTAAAGGTTAAAGCAATAGAAATAACATAGTAGTATTCTGCTGTAAAGAAATACAGGTAACAAGCACATTTTAATTTTTTGAGTTAGACCCAAATTGTTTCTTTAAGAAGATTTGATGTGACAAGTATATGTGAGAAATCATATCTCTGGTCTATAAAATGATATAAAGGAAAGTTAATATTCAAGTTTTCAATCTTTGTAGAGAAAGTAGTATAATAAATTTTTAGGGTGAAAACATACCTAATCACTGAGAGCAAGATTGCTTAAAGGTAAGTTATTCTTCACTTTCAAGGAGGTAGCACATGTTTATGCAATTCTTTGCCCAGATCATAAGGTGGAAATTTAAAAAGCAAAATTATTCTTAACCATTTTTTCAATGAATTCTAGTGTATTTTGCTTTTTATTAATTTTTCAGGTAGGGTGAGGAAGATGGAGCAGGAAAGAAAAGAAAAATCATTCCAATAATTATTTTTCTATTTTTTATTATATATATTTTAGTATTATTTTTTACCAGTTATCCTTATACTTATTTTGTCCATGAAATGATAACACTATGATTAATATGATGTTTTCTACCTCATGCCTTTATGGATATGTCATTTTATTAATGAAGTAGCATTCATTTTTATAGTGTTTTGTTGTTTTGATTTTGCAGGCTGGGTATACAGAACATATTGGGAAGCCAACAGAAAATAATAGTGATGAAATAGAAGAAAGGACTGATAATTTTCCACCAACTCCTGAAATTCCTCTATTTTTAACAACTCCTGAACCTGTGAAAACACCTGAATCTTTAAAAAAGCTACAACTCCCCAAAACCCCCTTATTTGAAAGGTAGGATTTTAAGTAATAATTATAATTAAATTTTTCTATACATTTAGTTATATAAATAAGAAGAATAGTAAAATGCTTAGTCCTTATAATTTTAAAATGTTTATTATGTAGTATTTCAGACATACATAGAGAGAAAAACTATTATAATGAACCTTCATGTACCCCATCATTCAGTTTGAACAATTACTAACATTCTACTATTCTTGTTTCATAGACTCTTTTCCCCTTTTTTCCTGCAAAATTTAGCTGAGATGGCATAGATCCCAAGTACTTTTCCAATTCAATAGTATATAGATTTAAGATTTTCCAGAGGATGAAATATGAATGGAAAAATTTTAAATGTTAAGCTACGGTCACATGTAATAGATGGTGCACTTATCATTAACATGTAATACATTGTGCACTTATCATTAAGTAAAGTTTCAGCAGTCATTTTTCCATGTATTGTAGTATCTGAAGCAAGAATTGCCATCCTGATAGGTAAACTCTTTAGTCATAAATATCTCTAACAAGGTTTTTTTTTTTTTTGAGACGGAGCCTCAAGTTATCCCCCTGGGTAGAGTGCCATGGCATCACGCTCACAGCAACCTCCAATTCCTGGGCTCAAGTGAGTCTCCTGCCTCAGCCTCCCAAGTAGCTGGGACCACAGGCGCCCTCCATAGAGCCTGGCCATTTTTTGGTTGCAGCCATCATTGTTGTTTGGCAGGCCCGGGCTGGGATTCTAACCTGCCACCTTAGGTGTATGTGGCTGGCGCCTTAGCCGCTTGAGCCACAGGTGCCGAGCCTCTAACAAGGTTTTTTAACTTTGGAAACAACAGATTTATAACTTGCAGCCAAGGAAATAGTGCCACATTAAACCTTTTGTTTAGTTCATTCTCTTCCTTAAAACTGAATCCTGAGATTCCTCTAAACATATGTTAAACAGATTTCACTTCATCAGAGATCTCTCACCTATATTCTACATCTGTATTTTAAGTTGGTAGCAAGAGTTTTATCTGTGAATGCTATGCTGTTGACTTAAGCATAGCTTGTTAAAAGTGGAACTAATCATCAAATCTGGGAACTAAAAAAGAAATTAAAATCATATGCTAACTAAAACCTCTTTCCATGTATGAGAAAACTACAGTTTGAAAAATTAAGCAACTCATTCATGGTCACAGAGATAGTTATGGTAGTATTGTTAGACTTCTGTTATATTGAACGGATACTTATGTTAGCACTCTGTGCAATGCACTGTTCTAGACATTTTATAAATATTGCTCATTTAATATTCATGACCACCTTGTGAGGTGTAGCTACATTATTATCCTGATTTTTTTTGATGGGGAAACAGAATCACAGGTGTTACAACTAGTCAGTGTTGAGATTTAAACTCAGACAGTGCTAGTTCTAGTATCCATGGTTTTAACTACTATATTATATGCTGTATTTTCTAATTCTTTTCCCTAGATCATTTCATAGTTTAACTCCCTTATACAATTCTCCATAATGGCTGCTTTCTTATCAAGATTAAAAATTTGTGATTGGATTTTAAGATCTTGAAGACAGTTTAGTGTCAGGGTTAAGAGATTGGACTTTGAATCAGAGTTACTGCATTTATTATCCTTTTGGGCAAATCATTTAATCTTTCTAATGCTTCAAAATCCTCTATTGTGAAATGAGAGTGATAGTAATAATACCAATTTTATAGAGTTATTGTGAGGAATAAGTAAGTTATGCCTTTGGAAGCACCTAGAATAGGTATATTCTCAGTAGGTATTTATATTTATTATTCCAAAATGATTGTTCTAGTGTATTTAACATTATTCTTTACCCCAAACCATCACTTACTATTTTCACTGTAATAACTACTTCCTATCTTTCCTTACCATGCTAATTCTCACCTCTATGCTGTTCCTTATGGTGCTTATCAGTCTGCAGTATGTAATAATGGATTTTTAACATTTTGATGATTTTTTTAATTTCTCAGTAACAGAAATAGAAATGCAGTACCTGAGGTTCAAACACAAAAGGAATCCCCTGGATTTTCTTTTCTTATGAGTTATACTTCTAGATCACCTGGATTGAATTTATTTGATTCTTCTATATTTGAAACAGAAGTCTCATCAGATCAGGTAATATGAGAAGCTGAAATTTTATTTCTTAAAATTGTGCATTGGAACTTTGAGTATTTTCTTGTTTTCAGCTTTATATGCCCCAACAACATCCATCAATTAACAAGACTCTTAGGATAAGGATGATTTAAATTGTAATAAATCATACTTTAAAAATGAATTTAATTACTTAGGAGGCTGAGGCAGGAGGATTGCTCAAACCTAAGAGTTTAAGCTATGAGCTATGATGCTGTGAGCTACGATGTACCCAGACAACAGAGTGAGACTTTGTCTCAAAAAAAAAGAATTTAGCTTTATAGTTAATATTTCTAACTTCTAAATAAAATTTATATGTTCTCAATGTGAAAAATGCTGCACATTATAAGCTGGTCTTTCCAATTACATGTGTGTACATAGCAACATTATCACTGGTTAATCTTAAAGCTCTGATAATAATTTTAGAAGACATTTTAAAATTAATTTCTACTGTTTGGTGATGTAAATTATGATAAAGTGCTTCTTTTTTTGGAGACAGAGTCTTACTCTGTTGTCCATGCTAGAGTGCCATGACATCAGCCTAGCTCACAGTATTCTCAAACTCCAGGGCACAAGCAATCCTCTTGCCTCAGCCTCCTGAGTAGCTGGGACTACAGGTACCTGCCACAAAACCCAGATAGCCTAGCTTTCCTATTTTTAGCTAGGGGAATCTTACTCTTGGGCAAGCTGGTCTGAAACGCCTGAATTCAAGCAATCCTCCCACTCCAATCTTCAGTGTTAAGATTACAGGCGTGAGCTATCGTGCATAGCCTTAAAGTACTCATTTTTATATTTAGTAATTAAAACAAAAAATTAAGATATGCTTTATTGGAAAAGTAGAGATAATATAGTGTAGTAGGTAAAACTAGACTCTGAAGGGAGACTACTTGGGTGTGTACTAGATGTGGGATTTGGGTAAGTATAATGAAAATAATAATTATTGTAGGGTTTATGGATATTAGTTTATGCACATGCAGTATTTAGAAAAGTGCCAGCCACTTAATAAGGCTATGTAAGTATCAGTGTAATAATGTTATTGTTCATTTAGTCACTTTTAGGCTATTTTATGTAGATCAGAATATTTTATTCCTATATTCCCCACATGATACTGAGTTTTCAAAATTATAAACTTATTGATGGAAGATACAGTACTATATGTTTTATAGTATTTCACGTCTTCAACGTTTGTCTCAATTTTTATCTAAATGCTAATTTTAAAAACAAGTAATTCTTAGAAAGAGTATGCTGGGTGTGAAAAAGTAGACTACAGTTACTTAATTCTCATTTACAATAATAACACAAATGCAAAATACAGGTGTATAACCTTAACAGGAAACATGGACATTTTAAGTAAGGAAAATTATAAAAGTTCTGGAAAAATCTATGACTACATAGATATATGCAGTACTTATATAGGAGTGAAACATTATAAAGATAAATTTCTTCCTTACATAATTTATAATTGTAATCCAATTCAAATCTAATTAGATTCTGGCAAGACTATCTTGAAATTTGATTTGTTTTTGTTTTGTAGTGGTGGGTTTAGGAAGGGGATTGGCAAATTAGTAACTTTCCTATGGAAAAGTAGTCAACAATAATCAAGAAAATGTTCAAAAATAAGATTTAAAGTGAAATAGAATTCTGAAAAAAATCTAAACAAAAAGAAGGCAGAAAAGAAGGAATAGAGTAAAAACCCACAACATTAAAAAATAGTAAACTGTTAGACTAAATAACGAACTTTTAAAATAATGACATTAATATGAATGGTCTAACCATTAAAAGGCTGAGACTATAAGAATGAATAAAAAAGCAGACACAATCATAAGCTATCTGTAAGAAATGTAGTTTAAATATAAAGACAAAGGTTGAGGCTCACTGCCTGTGGCTCAAGCAGCTAAGGCGCCAGCCAAGTACACCTGAGCTGGCGGGTCGAATCCAGCCCAGGCCAGCCAAACAACAATGACAACTTCAACCAAAAAAAAAAAGCTGGTCATTGTGGTGGGCACCTGTAGTCCCAGCTACTTGGGAGGCTGAGGCAAGAGAATCGCTTAAGCCCAGGAGTTGGAGGTTTCTGTAAGCTGTAATGCCACGGCACTCTACCCAGGGCAACGGCTTGAGGCTCTGTCTCAAAAAAAAAAAAGAAAAAAAAAAAAAAAAGACAAAGGTTGAAAATAAATAGATGGAAAGTGATATATCTTGAAAACCATAAGCATAAGAAGTTTATAGATCACATATTAATATTGTTTTTGGTGGTCTCAAAGATTATTACTAGCAATAAGAAGAAGATATAAAGGTTAGTTTTTAAGGAAGATGTAACAATAAAAAGTATGTACAAGCCTAAAAACAACTTCAATTACATGCAACAGAAATTGGCAGAATTAAAAGAAGAAATAGATAAAATTTCAAATATAGTTGGAAGTTTTTAACACCTCTCTCTAAGCAGTTGATAAAGTTAGACAACATGATTGATAAGGATACTCTGTAAGATCTGAATAATATCATCAATAATTTAATTAGGTCACATCCAACAACTGTAGCATATATATTGTTTTCAAGTGCTGATCATTCAGCAAGATACCATATTCTGGGCCATAAAATGAGTCTTAATGAATTTAAAAGAATTGAAATCAGTGTTGGGAGACCTAACTCAGCTACACATGAATTCTTTCCCCTCCTCCTCCTCTTCTCCTAAGACAAAGGATCTCGTTAGCCTTCCCCCACCCCAAAGTTCAAGCCAGAGGATCCTAACTTTCCCAGCAAGCTGTGGAATTTGGCCATCCCTCACAGCCCCATATAAAAGGGGTTTCTAGCTGTCCCCCACCCCGGGCGCACATGCCACCTTCACACTGCCCAGGTAGGTTATCTTCCCTTTTAATTAACCAGACCTGAACATCTCCACTACAGTCTCATCTCTGAGCACCACGGCTTACACCTTTTTTTTTTTTTTTGGAGACAGAATCTCACTGTGTCACTCTCAGTATAGTGTTCTGTGTGGCATCACAGCTCACAGCAACCTCAAACTCTTGGGCTTAAACAGTTCTCTTGCCTCAGCCTCCCAAGTTGGTGGGACTACAGGCACCCACCACAATACCTGGCTATTTTTTTGTTGCAGTTGTCATTGATATTTAGCTGGCCCAGGCTGGGTTCAAACCTGCCAGCCTGGGTGTATGTGGCCGGTGCCAGCTTACAGCTTTCAATCAGAGTATTATCTCTGACCACAGTGGAATTAAATTAGAACTCAGTAACAATGAGATACCTAGGAAAATCTTAAATACGTAGGCTATGCATGGATCAAAAAAAAGAATCATGGGAGAAATTAAGAAAGATTTTTGAACTGAATTATGGAAATTTAGCTTATCAGAAATGTGGGATGCTGCCAAAGCCAGAGAAAAATGACAGCTTTAAATAATAAATTAATAAGTTAAATAAATTAATAGAAAAGAAAGGTCTAAAATCAAAGCTTTCACCTTGAGAATCTAGGGAAAGAAGAACACAGCAAACTCAAAGTAAATATAATGAAGAAATAAGGACAAGAGAAATTAATGAATTGGTAAAACAATAGAGAAAATTAACAAACTCAAAGTTGTTTTTGCTTTTCTGCCTATAAAAATTGACAAAATTGATAAACTCCCTACATTAGGAATGAAAGAAAGGATACTGTAATAAATCATTATAAATATTATAAAATAGATTGATGAGAGGAGCTTCATTCTCTGCATATTAACACATCCTATAGGGAGGTGTCTTTGGCTCAAAGGAGTAGGGTGCTGGCCCCATATACCAGAGGTGGCGGGTTCAAACCCAGCCCCGGCCAAAAAAAAAAAGAAAACATCCTATAAACTTAGAATAATCAAAATGGTGGGATAGTGTTTTTAAGGATTGACAGACTGATCAATGATATGGGCTTGAAATCAGAGAATTTAGTATGAGAGGAAAACTCTCATGACAATCTGTGATTTTTACTCCTTTGCAGGTGAAGTAATACATTTCCCTTTCCTTCTTCTCAAAAACCACTTTCTTTTCTTTTTTTTTTTTTTTTGATGTGGTCTATTAGAACTTTTGGTAACAGATTTTTGGTGTTCCCTGGTAGGCTCATTGCCTTTCTGACGGAATGGTACCCTGCTGAAGAAGCAGGGAACAGCTTGGGACAGAATGGTGGGTCTTCACAGGAAGGAGAGACTTCTTTTCAGGGTGAAAGAGTATGGGATGGTCCCAGCTTGTGCTCTGAGGACTCTCCATGTCTGCATCCCTGTCTCTTAGAAGTAAATGCAATTCCTTGCAACCTAAACTTAGTTGAGGAGAAGGAAATGGATTTGGAAAGAAAAGGTCTAGACACCAGGCCTTTTTATTGGGTGAGTACCCCAGGATGCAACCCAAGGACCCCATTTCACCCATGAGGGATGCTTTCAGAACTTGCTGCTCTGTGGCAGGGCTTTTTGTTTGAATTTGTTTGGAGGTACAGTCTAGGGTGGAAGTCACAGGTCCAGTGAAACTAGTGAACTTTGCTTACATTTGGAACTCATTTCCAGTTCCCAGGAAAGGGGGAGCAAGGTCACTATTTAGGAAGGGTTTACCTTCCAGCCCTATAGATATTTGGAGCACACAGTCTGAGGTGCCTTTGGGGGTAGCATTTTTGTCCTCTTTGGATTGGCATTTGTTTGATAGGTCCTAGCATTTTGTGTTGAGAATGCTGTGTATTGTTTGTGTTGTTATTTGTGTGTTCTGTTGCAACATAGAAAAGTTTCATCACCTATGGTACATCTTACAAGGGTACATGTGAAATTTACTAGGTGGAGAATATAAATGTCTTAACACAATAACTAAGAAAATGCTGTGAAGGCTATGTTGACAGTTTGATGAAAGCATTTCATCATTTCACATACAGTATTATGTGAAATTTACATACATTTACAATTGTACATAGAACTAGCACATTGTACCCCATGATTGCATTAATGTACACAGTTATGATTTAATAAAAAACAAAAAGTTCCATCTTAAAGTCCATTAGGAAAAATTTTGTCTGAATGGTCCACTTATAGCTGAGAACCTTTGTCTAACTTAGGAGAATGGTATTATTGTAATCCAATATATGTGCTGGAGGGTACAGTGTAACTTGACCATGGACTATCTCATGGCTAGAATTTTAAAGTAAAACCTATTGAAATTTAAA